ATCCATGCTCCCCCCGCCGGGCACGGAGCGCATGAACCATCCCACCAGGAGCACTGAGGCCATGTGTCTGCATGAGACATCACGGTTGCCCTCGGCAGCGGGGGGGAGGGAGGACCGGGCTGCAGGGGGTGGGGAGACGCCGCAGCGCCTGGCGGAAGGACACAGCCAGCAGACGGGGCCGTACGTTATTGTCGAAGTTGCCCAGGCTGCAGTTGCACTCGGTGGCACCGTAGAACTCGGCGATTTGGGGGATCCCGAAGCGGGAGATGAATTCCTTCCAGATAGACATCCGCAGCCCGTTCCCAAGCGCCATGCGCACGTGGTGCCGCCGCTCCACCTCCTGGGACGGCTGGTTCAGGAGGTAGCGGCAGATCTCCCCGATGTACTGGACGATCTGCGGAAGGGAAGGGAGACATGGCACACTGCACCCTTCCACAGCACCCTCCACCCAGGGACCGCAGAGCACTTGAGCAGCGTCAACCCTGACGAGCCCCCAGGAGCCAGGCGGGTGTTAACAGCCCCGTTATACAGATGGGGAGGGACAGTTGGGGAAGAGACTTGCCCAAAGTCACCCGGTGAGTCAATAGCAGAGCCAAGAATGGAACCCAGGAGTCCTGCTTGCTAATTCTGTGCCTCCCACCTAGCGGGCTGCCGCCTCGTAAGTTGGAATAACCGGTCTGGCATTCCCTGTTTTGCTTGCAGGAGGCAACACCCTGGCTGCCCTCCGGAGCATGACACAACGAAGAACAGGAGCAAGGAAAGGACATGGAACTACTTGGTTTGTAAGCTCATTACAACAGGGACCAGCTTTTGTTCTGTGTTTGTACAGCGCCTAGCACAGCAGGTGTCTGGGGCGAAAGCTATCGTCCCTCATCAGACCCAGCGGCAGTGACAGTGATCTCCACAGGAAACAGCCAGCCAAAGCCTCGGTTTCAAGACATCCAAGGGCCCCGCTGCCAACTCCCAGGATTCTCAGCAAGTTGCTGATTCTCGGGGTTCCTCGGCCAGCTCTTCCCCCTGCACCCCCCCCGTCCCGCCATGAGGCCCCTGCACCCCCACTGCCTCACCGTACAGTTGTACTTCACACAGTCATCCCAGAAGTGAGAGGCTGAGAACTTCTTGCGGATCACCACAGTCATCCCCTGGAGGAGGCACTGGCCAATCCCAACAATGTTACCTGGGCGAGAGGGGAGCGAAGGGGAAACCATTAACCTCCCGCCTCTCGGGAGAGGGTGGCTGATCCCAAAAACGGGACAGGCTGCCTTGGGGACATGGAGCCTTTCACCTTGAGGCATCTGGTTTGAATCCAGCCCAGGATCCAGTAGGCACCAGAAGGTGTCTCCATCCCAGGGCTGTTCGATGGAGCTGGAGGGACTCAGGTAGGTTCTTAGTGGGAGGTGCCCATTTCCCAAAGTCACCATCAGTAGTGGTGCTAATGGGCCCCCTCAATACCCTCACTTAGGTCTCTAAGCACCTTACAGAGGAAGGTGTGCATCGTCACCCCATTTTATATATGGGGAAACTGAGGCAAAGTGACTTGCCCAAGGTCACCCAGGGAGCCGGTGACGAGCCAGAATCAGATCCCAGGGGTCTGTACTACCAGTTTCCTGATCTAACCACTAGCTGCCTTGTCCTGGGCTGCCAGTACTGCAAAGTGGCTACCATGGACCTTGTGAAGACCCCAGTCCTTCACACTGATCCAGTGGGGACAGACGGGCGAGCCCCTCCTCAGCACAGAGCAGCTGGCGGTTATGGAACGACAGTCACTGCAGCAGTCCCTGGACTGAGAGTCTGCCGACATCACGGGCAAGGAGACGGGCTACAGAGGCTTGGGCAGGGAGACGCGTGAGCAGGAGCTCGGATACCTGCCGCATGGTAGAGAGGGAGGCAGTCGTACATCACGTCATCTGGCCTCATGCGGAATCCGTAATACACCAGGGATGCCATGCGGTAGTACCTGGGGCAGGAGAAGTGGGTGCATCAGTAGCCCAGCAAAGCCCTCCACTGCTAGCAGGGTCCAGATCCCACCCCCATTCCCCTTGCACCCAGCAATGGCCTGCCCCTGCTCAGCCCCCCCTTACCTGCAATTGACCACGATGGCTGCCTTGGGCATCCCCGTCGTGCCGGAGGTGTAGATGTAGAAGAGTTTATCTGGACGGCAAGTGGGGGAGGCAGAGAGAGGATTCAGCATCACAGCAGCATCTCACAACCCGCTCTTTCCCGGGGAGCCAGAAGGGCCAGCGTGCTGGATCAAGCCAGGCAACTGAACACGCGCTCGCTCCCTGCCCGTTGGCTATGGCCACCCCACCTCGGGCTGCCACCGAGTCCGCTCGCCCAAGTCGGCCTCGTTATTTGTACAGCACCAAGAGCGTGCCAGGCTCTTCACTAAGCTAAGTGGGTTCAGGCTGGGCAATACTCCGACGGGAGACCTCCAAAGAGGTCAGTGCATGGGTGCTTAGCTCAGCCCGGCTTGCACAACAGCAGGCCAGGGTTGAGCAACAGCTTCCCAGAGCTTGGTGCCGAAGAGTCACACGTCAGCAGACTGGGGAGTTACACGCGCTCCAGCTCTCTGCCGCTTACATGGGCGTGGCTGGATGTGTTTCACCCCAGCTGTTTCCACCCCCGGGATTATCCATGGCCATTGCTAGATGACACATGGGAACAGCGCAAAGACTCAGAGGCACAATAACCCACCCTCCCTCTGCACACCTCGTAACATGGGACATACCTAGGAAACCCTTCTTTGGGGGGCTTGGCAGGTGCCGAGGAGCCATCTCCAGGAAGGGGTCCAGGTGTTCTGTGCTTGGGGGTGCGGATTCTGGATTCCTCTCTCCGGAGCAGAAGAGACGAACAGATTTCCCCAGGGAGGGCTGTACCTCCTGCATGGCTGGGAGGGAAGGAGACAACGAAACAGGAGCTCTGAGAAAGGACATCTACGAGACATTGAGATCCAGGAGCACCAAGAGAGGGGTGGGAAGGTTTACAAAGCTAACTCCCCCACACGCTTGTCCAAGCCGACGTTACGCCCATAGCCTGCCCCAGCCCAGGGCGGCCTTCGCCCCAGCCTAAGAGGGCAACTGGCTCAGGAACTTGCTTCACCCAGGTTGCTTCAGGCTACGGTCTAGAGCAGTGACACTTGGACTCTTCAGAGCACTTGCAGGCAGTCCGTGAAACTGCTGCCAGCACACTAGGAAGGCACCTGTCCGTCTCCAAGCCTGGACAGTCCTTGTTGGCCACAGCCCAGGACCATTGTAGGTTCTATTAAAAAAAGAAAATCAGAAACTCCCATTCCCTTCTCTGCCCCCAGCCAGGTGCCTCTCAGATGTGAATTCAGCACCGATGAGGTTTGCGGGCGTTAGTGGACAAAGGCCAGGAGTGCTGGACCTAGTGACGCTGGGGGTGTGGCAACACCCCCTGGCTTGGAGCAATAATAGAGGAATGGTGGCTTCCCTCATACAGTTCTGGGCAATGGCTTTCAGCACCCCCACCTTCAAATTGTTCCAGCGCCCTGACAAAGGCACAAGAAGATGGGGCCAAACTGCAGTGTGACCTGGAGAGATCTGGGCATGGGGGCTGCAGGCGACCAGGGGAGAATTATGCCTAACAAATGTAAAGTCCTGCCCCTGGGAGAAGAGACAGACCGCACCGACATGCGATGGGGGAGGTCACCCAACAGCCACAGCTAACCCCATAACGGGAGCTTGCTTTCATCTAGTGCCCTGATTTGACTCACTCGTGTGACCAAACGCCAGAGCTGTGATGGTGAAGCCATCACGTGACAGGGAAATGTTCACAAGTGGAAGTAGCGGACCTCTGTTTATCCACAGTATAGACAGGGCCTCATCCCTACGCCAGAGGGACCAACCGTCAGGACAAGAGAAGTCAGTCTCTATTGCCTATTTGGTACTGGGTCCCTCTGCTAAGGGGAAACCGATAAGGATCAGTGGGGTGATGGTTTAGGTGACACTTGTCCATTGGGGACAGGGCTGAGACCCAGCAAACTCAGTTCACAAGGCGGCCAAACAGCTCTCAGGGCCTGCTTTACACTGGCATAACTTCATTACAGAGGTGAATGAGGCCCTCAGTCACTATGAGCCAGGGCTGGATTTGAGCCAGCAGCCTGAAGTGACAGTGACTCATCTGAACCAACTACTATATTTTCTGAGATTTGTTTTACATATCCCCAGGGCTGGAGCTTCCTTTTGGAGACTGCTCCACAACCTAACAGGGGTCCCCCAGCTACTGATATTCAGCCTAAGTTTTCCCAACTGCCTTAGTTATTATATTCTAGCCCCTTGGTTCATTCTAGACAAGGACTCTCCTTCCTGGGCATTTGCACGGCTCAGATCTCGGCAGGTGTTTCCCCGATCCCATGGAGTCATCACAAAGGCGTTAGCGTCCGGTGCAAAGCCCCAGCAGGTCGGGGGGCTGCCAGAACGGTGCCTGTTTTCATGGCGGCAAACCGCCCCCAATTGATACCCTGGCATTAGAGACCCTGGCTCAGCAGATTTCACAGCAGTGTCACATTACGATTCTTGACTCCCTACCTACCCCACTGGGTGGCCCCTGGTGACACCCACACTCCCCTAAGCCAAAATGCACCCCCACCTCAAAGCCAGCTCTGTCTCACCCTCCAGCAACAGAGCCAGGGGGTTTCATGCCAGCAGCCCTCCTGGAATCACCCCACACACATCCCTACAGCAGCTCAGACACCCACCCTAGGAGAGACAGCCGCGGCTACTCTTACCACCGAGCCAGACTAGCCAGCAAAGATGGGGGGAGAAGGGGAAGGAGCACAGCGTTGGGAGGCCCAACTACTTTGCCACCTCCAAGCACATGTCTGGGGACACGACCGACTGACTCCTCTCACCTTCCATCATCTCGGCCCCGAACACCACGGCCTTGGAGTTGGAGATGTTGATGCAGTGCAGCAGGGCCTCCATGCGCAGGTGGGAGTTCACGAGTGCCGCCTCCACCCCAATCTTGGCCATCCCCAGCCAGAGACCCACGTACTGGTTGCGGGACTCCATGAACAAGGCCACAACATCGCCAGAGCGGAAGCCCTGCTCGTACAGGTAGTTGGCCACCTGGTTGGAGTACTCATCCAGCTGGCGGAAGGTCCAGCTCTCACCCGTTCCCTGGAAGATCAGTGCCGTCTTCTCTGGGTGCTTGCGGACCGTCTCCTGGAAGATCTTGGGGATGGTGTTCTTCCCCCTCAAGTGCCGCCACACCTGCCACTTCACCCTCAGCAGGACTAGCCCCGTGCTGCCAACCAAACCGGACAGAAGATTCTCTGCACTGATCCACATGGAGGCCATGCAACTAGACCCAGCCTAGACTGTGGGTCTCCCTCCCATCGCTCAGGGGGAGCAGGGGATCTGCGTGTGGAGCTTTCCAGAGAGACCCTTTATAACCAGAAACGGATTACACCCAAGCAGCAGGGAAGGGGGTAGAACCCAGCCCCTTCCCCTCACAGTGGATTACAAATGCTCCTCCCCAACCCCCAGATGAGCTAAAGGAACAGCCCTGCCACCTCGGGGCAGCAGATATTGTGCAACAGGCCACAGGGCACCTGTTCCCTCCGAGCCACGCCCCCAGGACTCCTGGCTAGAAGCCAGCTCATCCTTGATCCCGGTACATTCTCCTTGGCCCTGGCTCAGAGAGCCAGGCCCAGAGTGCAGACACCCGACTGCCAAGTCAGTGTTTTTAGGGACCGAGGGAAGTCCAAGGTCAGAGACAGTCGCCAGCCTCGGGATCTCAGCTGCAATCATATCTCGGAGAGACTCGGCCAGAGATTTCAGAGAGATCTCAGGTCCCAAAAGCAACTCCCTCCCTCACCTGGCAGGGGCTGTATTCCTCACTGAGCTGCCTGAGTAACCTCAGCAGGGGGCTGAGGTGTAGGCAAGATGCTGGTATTCAGAGCTCTCCCCTCTCATCCCTGCATTGCCCTGGCCACAGCAGGATGCTTCCCCTACCCGGTTCCATACTGGGGGTCACCTTAATGCAAACGGGACAGAGAGAGGGCAGTTTCCAGAGAGGACACTTACGTGACGTCCCTCCTTATTGTCTTGAAGACGATGCGCAGGAATTTCCATCCCCCGGAACCCAAGTAGAATATGAAGAGGGCAGGGATCACCTGGACCCAGGAGAGCTTCAGGACCAGCCTGAAGAGCACAAAGAGCGCGGTGAGGGCAGCCAGCCGCAACATCTTGGCCTGTGGGGGAGAGACGGTGGAAATCAGTCGCCGGTTTTCACTCTGATGCTTCCCAGGGGATCCCCAAGGCAGACGCCAACCTGAAGTAGGAGTGACAAAGAAACTGCAATTTCCCTGCTTTGGGAGGTGTCAAGGTGGGAATGGGGAGGGCAACATGGGCTAAATTCTGCTCCCTTACGCAGGCCATGCATGGCAGTAAGGCAAGCAGGACTGAACCCCTGCATGGCACCCTGTTGGGCTTCCTTGTAAACTGACTGGTAGCAGCAGATGCTACCAATAGGCACCGTCTGAAACGACAACTGCCAGTGTGTCTCGTGGCCTCTGGCTGGGCCTGCACTTAGCCACGTACCCCTGAGCACAGCTCACCAGGGTGGTGTAGACGTGGCTCCATCTGCTGGTTTGAGAAGAGCCAATAGTGTCTAGCCCTGCACAAAGCAGGTGTCTCCCGGGACTGAGACCATAACCTCAGCAAACTACCACACGCATGAACTAAAATAGTCATGAAATTCCAGGGGACACATGGGACACAGGGTGGAACTGGGAGAAGGTAAAATGGCAGGATAAGAACCAGGGAACGAGCCAGGCAGATTTCTGTTCCACAGCACCGTATGTGAAACCCAGTGGGCCAAACCCCCATTGGTGTAACTCGATTAGCGCCGTTCACGTCACAGAGACACCCTGCAGTCAAGCCAGTGGAGCTCTGCTGATTTACCCCTGCCAGAGATATGGCCCTTCACATTTGGGGAGCTGCACCTGGGGACATAATCTGACAGATGCTGAGATAGCGGGGAGGCGTGTGCCAGTAGCTGGTGCACAAGACTGGGAAACAGAGGCCTAATCCCAGTTCTGACACAGACTCTCTCTGTGGCCTTGGACAAGTAATGCCACCTCCTTGCCTCAGTTTCCCCATGTGTAAATTGGGGATAATACACATGGGACCATTGTGCAGTTGTCAGACAGTGGCTGGAAAGCAATGCATCAGTGACAAGTATGTTTCAACCCTACAAACCCAGGAAAACTCAGCATCAGCCTCCAATTTATACCGAGGCTCCTCCTTTCACTTTACTCCAATTCTGCCATGACCAAAGCGGATTCGACTCTCCGGCCGTGCCCTGGCAAGTTGGTGACTCAATGGGGCTAGCTCCTCCTGCACCCCACGCTCTGGCTCTAAGTGCTTAGTAGGCCATGTGGTCTAGCATTTCAGCTTTGCATGCTCCTTTGACAGGACTTAAAAAAACCTCAACCCACACATGCACATAACAGGAACTAGGACAGAAAACAGGATTTAAGTCCTTTGTGCTCTGTAAGGGTTTGCAGGTTCTCATACGCTCATGCCACTTCCTAGCTGAGGTGCAGCCAGATCCCAGGTAACGTGGTCACCGATGGGCTCCTGGAACAGATCAGATGCGTGTCCCAGATGCGCACCACCAGGGGGCAGCAGAGCAATGACCAGGCTAGGGGGCTGCGTAGGCAAAGCCTTCATGCCTTCCTCCCAAGGGGCACAGGGCAATGCCAGTGATTAGCCTCAAGCACACGCTGCTAGACACTCTCTCCTACAGACTCACAGGTCAGCTGTGACTCTCCTCCTGCATTTCCACCTTCCCGCCCCCATGGCGGGGGCCAGACCAGATGGGGAGGCCACCCCTGTGAACTGACACTTTTGCTGGCAGTGGTGCAGAAGGGCAGCAACCTATAGAGGGATCCTTCCACGTAGCAGCTGCGCATCAAGCGGGGAAGGCAACCACAGGCTAATCTCCCAGGCCGGGAGCTCAAGGCCCCACAGATAAGGCTGATCCTTCCTGACACAGGGTGTAAGGGAAGGAAATTGACACATCATTTCCTATTCATTCTTGCGGATTTAACGCCCCACAGCGATCAGGGCAGCAGGGGATCCCCTCACAATTACAAGCTCTGGCCAGGATTCTTTCAGTTCTCTGATCCCCGGGTGAAGTCTGGGGGAGATGGGGGTGCTCTGTGCAGTCATCCCCTGGGATTCACTCTCCCCAGACAAATGTGGGAGCGCAGCTGCTGTTGAGCTCACTGAAGGACCCATCTCTTTGGCATCACACACTTCTCCCTCTCCTCCGAGGTTAGCTACAGCAGTGCTGAGGGCCGCAGAGAATATCCTGCTTATTGTAGACAGGCTGTTAATGCAGGAATCTAACCCAGGGATGTGAGCCCTGATGCACATCTGAGAAGCCAATAAAATGAGGATGCACAGGGGGGCCCTGGTTGCTGACTGGATCCCCTAGGAACTCCTATAACACCCATACATGATCATGGGCTCAGATTTCCTGGGAATGTTGTGTGCAATCCCTCCCCCAGTTCAAGGATCTCAGACTCTCCCAAACTTCCAGCCCTGCCTGCTCCATATTAACATCCATAAGCTCTCCCCTTAACCCCCTCCTCCTGAAAGCTCCCAAGAACACACCCATTCCCTGAGACACCTGCCTTTCACCTGGGCAGGGACCTGCTCTTTGTTTGGCACACTGTGTTGTGATACACTGGTCCTGTCGGGGGAAGGGCTGGGGAAGCAGAGCGGGGCTCTGTTCCTGGTTCTTCCACTGAACCTCCGTGCTTTGGTTCCCTGATCTGTAAAATGGGTATAATGGGGAGCATCACAGATAGCTACGATAATAAGGTAGGTGGGTATTTGTATTACAGAAGTTCTGAGAGGCTCCAGTCAGGGTCAGGGCCCTATCGTGCTTGGTGCTGTACAAACATATTTGTGCTTACATAGGGGGGAAAGCATTACTCATTGCAGCCCATCTAAGCCCCACTCCTGCAGGCTGCTCCATCTGTGGGCAAAGCCCTGTACTCACAAGGGGCCCTACTGACTACAGAGGAACTCCATGCAGGGGTCTGACCATGTAGATTTCACTGCAGGACTGGGGGAAACTTTCCCTGAGCCACAGTTAGCCTCTTTCCATGGGTATCAGACTCACAAAGCTCCTACAAACACCAGCATTTAATGCAGATCACAATGCTGATATGGGCACCCTGCTCAAAGCACCACGTCTGTCTGTCCCTCTCCAGCCAGTTCCACATGTTTTCTGAGCCATTTGGCATTCCACCGCCAAGCTGGTGTGTGCCAAGCACTCCCAATTTCCAAGGGGAGACGGAGCTGGACACACTTAACCAAGTCACTCCAGATGCCTGCAGAAGGGAGTCAGATCATTACATACAGAAGTGCTGTGATTGCAGGCAGCACTCAGCCAGGAGCAAAAAAACCTGAGTCCCACCCCGTGGAACCTCCTCAGGGCATCCCAGCAATCTCACAGAGCATCAAGGTGCAGGAGCTGCTCCCAAGACAGGCCGTGATGTTGGGCCTGTGCCCATTTCTGCTCCTTCCTGGTATAAAGCGGGGGCCTGGGAGGCTTTGCTCAAACCAGGTCTTTACCTGCTTGATTTTTACATTAGGAATTCAGGGCTTGTCTGGCTGCACCGGCACAAGGAAAATTAGGGCCCGTAACTCACTCACTGCAGGAGGCAGTTCTGTGATGGCGATTTACTGCTCCTAGTTTTCCTAGTGCAGATGAGACCTGGAGACTGGCGAGCCAGTGAGATATCAGCCCAGGAGCCAAGTGAGGCAAGCACCCAGGAGAGGAGGGTAGTTAGCCAGGCAGATTCCAACTCTTTCCTGCTAGCTTGCTTTTGTGAATACTTACTTAGCTGCAGCTCCCCATGAGAGACCTACTCCCCGATCATTAGGGGGTGAGAGCTCCAAGTAATATCCCCAGAGCTCCCCCAGCAAAAGCAGGAGAGGCCGGGCTTGGTGGTCGTGATATTTCTACAGGGAAAAACAATGGGATTGTGAACAGGTGAGGGCCACCCAAAGATGGAGATGGTTACCACTATGCAAGGTGCCTGCAACCGCCTCCTTTTGGAAGGACAACCAGGCAGCCACCAATGCCCCAAAAGTGAGCAGTGCTGGCTAGGGAGGGGACATACATAGGGCGGCTGTGGGGGTACGTGGATTTAACATATGACCTCCCTGGAGGACCTGCCCTTCAGGGTAAGGAGGTGATGCAAACAGCTCCTCCCTTCCCCAGTGATGCACGTGTGGGTCAATGAAGCCTCACTATTCTGGAGTTACTCCAGCTTCCACACTTTTCATGGGCTGTCTTGCCTAGCACAGGAACAATGCTCCAACATCAAAGGAGATCTGAGCAGGATCTTGTATCCTGCAGGACTTCATTTCTGCACCCAGCCAGAAAGGGCACAATCCAATTGTGTGCGAGAGTGTGGCCAGGTTCCTAGAGAGCCCACAACCCAGCCTACCTCTTAGTTCTCATCCACGGTTGTGCCAATCTTTCCTTCCAACTTTTCTGTCACAGTAGTCCCCTGAAAGTATTTCCCAGCCTCAGTATCAGACCACCAGCTCCACTTCAGGTGTTCTGAACCACCAGCAGGCTTGATTATAGCCCATCAGCAAGCCACCTCCTGGAGTGTTATTTACATGCTATTTACGATAAGTAGCCAGCTTCCCCCTGCCTGCCTCTGAGGAAGAGTAGTGTTAGGACCAGCCCACCCACCTGCCTTCAGGTTCCCTACTCTCTTCCCTGGCACATCCTTCCTGTCTGTTTCTATAGTCCCAGCTGCTGGGATTACTTCCACCAGTGGTTTGAGCATTGGCCTGCTAAACCCAGGGTTGTGAGTTCAATCCTTGAGGGGGCCACTTAGGGAAC